TTGCCGCCCTTCCTCCCGCCTGCTCCTGCCTGCGCCGCTGCCTGCTCCTGCAGCTCCCTGCCTGCTCCTGCCTGTCCCCTGCAGCCCCCTTCCTGCTCCTGCCTGTCCCCTGCAGCTCCCTGCTCCCTGCCTGCTCCTGCCTGTCCCCTGCAGCTCCCTGCCTGCTCCTGCCTGCACTGCTGCCTGCAGCTGCCTGTCCCATGCAGCTCCCTACTTCCTGTCTGCTCCTCTGCCTGTCCCCTGCAGCTCCCTGCCTGCTCCTGCCTGCACTGCTGCCTGCTCCTGCCTGTCCCCTGCAGCTCTCTGCTCCCTGCCTGCTCCTGCCTGTCCCCTGCCTGTCCCCTGCAGCTCCCTGCCTGCTCCTGCCTGCACTGCTGCCTGCTCCTGCCTGTCCCCTGCAGCTCTCTGCTCCCTGCCTGCTCCTGCCTGTCCCCTGCAGCTCCCTGCCTGCTCCTGCCTGCACTGCTGCCTGCAGCTGCCTGTCCCATGCAGCTCCCTACTTCCTGTCTGCTCCTCTGCCTGTCCCCTGCAGCTCCCTGCCTGCTCCTGCCTGTCCCCCTGCAGCTCCCTGCCTGTCCCCTGCCTGTCCCCCTGCAGCTCCCTGCCTGCTCCTGCCTGTCCCCTGCAGCTCCCTGCCTGCGCCGCTGCCTGCTCCTGCAGCTCCCTCCTCCCTGCCTGCTCCTCTGCCTGTCCCCTGCAGCTCTCCCTGCTCCCTGCCTGCTCCTGCCTGCGCTGCTGCCTGCTCCTGCCTGTCCCCTGCAGCTCCCTGCTCCCTGCCTGCTCCTGCCTGTGCCGCTGCCTGCTCCTGCCTGTCCCCTGCAGCTCCCTGCTCCCTGCCTGCTCCTGCCTGTGCCGCTGCCTGCTCCTGCCTGTCCCCTGCAGCTCCCTGCTCCCTGCCTGCTCCTGCCTGTGCCGCTGCCTGCTCCTGCCTGTCCCCTGCAGCTCCCTGCGCCCTGCCTGCTCCTGCCTGTCCCCTGCAGCTCCCTGCTCTCTACCTGCTCCTCTGCCTGGTCCTGAAGCTCCCTGCTCCCTGCCTGCTCCTGCCTGTCCCCTGCAGCTCCCTGCCTCCCCCTCCCCCTCGACCCAGCTGCTGTTGGTAGGAGAAATCCCTTACAGCCTTCTAATTCCCCCCTTCCCGCCCCCTCTCAGGGCAGGGTTTTCCCAAAGCCGCGTGCGGGTGTGTGTCAGCAGAGCACGTTGCTGAACCTGCAGCTCCAGAAGAACACAACAGATGGGCCCACGCGATCTGTAAATGTCACACACGTTTCACACGACAACAAAGACGTGCCAGTGCCAGAAGCAGCAGCTCCTCATCCCAGGATAACAGCATCAAAGGGGTGCTGGAAGGCACCGCTCCACTGGGACCTTCTCCGTGAGTTTCTTCTCACTGGAACGCTCTTCCAGGCCTCCCATCCCACTTCCAACCTTTTATCTTTTTTGTTCTGGAAATTTGAGGACTGGGACAATAACCACAAGATGGTCTCGAGAGCACCGTGAATTGGGAAAGGACCCAAAATTCTTCTCCTTTATATTGTCTACCCTTCCCCAACACAGCCATCCCCCACACACGTGTTGACGCTCTCCTAGGACTAAACACAGCTCTCTGAGCTCTCCTCAGGTGATGGTAACTCCTCCCAGAACAGCCACCACAGGACAGAGGGCTATTCTCTTCCCCTGTTACGTAGCAAGACATGAAATGTTTAACTAGAAATGATCTTTTTCAGGTCAACTTAATGGCTAAGTCGAAGCAAAGCATGATGAGGATGCTCACCAGGGCTGCAGCAGGGACGCCCTCTACACAGACAGCACCAAACGTGTCTGTCTCAGCAGAGGACCATCTGTGAAACAGGACCCCAAGGCTCAAAGAAAGCACAGAGGTCCTGTGTACCCTGAGCTGCCCCAAGACATCAAACCAACTCAAGAACTTCTCTTGAGGACCTTTCCCTTGACCTTCCCCACACCTCTAATGGCTCACACCAACAGGGACTCACCGCTGGACGCTGCCTCTGGCTTGGAGAGGGACTCCTCCGAGGTGGGCTCTGCCGGGAGGGTCATTGACTGCTTGGCCTCGTCCACTTCATCATCCTCTGGGATGACCAGCTTCATCAGGCTCTGGTTGCACACGTTGGCCACCTCCTTGATGTCTGAGTGGAGGCAGTGTAAGGAACACACAGTCCCACACGCGGTTAGGTGCCATGGAGAAGCCACCATAGCCCCACCAGGGCTTCCCCAGCCCAGCTACTGCAACCCCTGTTCACATCTACAGGGGCAATGAAGGTTTTAGCACTTGGTGGGAGGACTTCTCCTGGCCCTGCACCCTGGGAGCAGGAAACAGGCTCTTCCCTGCAGGTTGCTGTAGCAGGAACGGGAGCAGCTCCGAGTTACAAGGATACTCTTCTTGCGATCATCGTAGGAGAGACAGGGCAGGACAGCCGTCAGGATGCCCGAGGAGTAAGGCAGCATCACCCGGCCGGCCAGCTGGATGAACTCCCTCATCCAGCACATGGCTGTCAGCTGGATCAGGTCATCTGGAAGACAGGGGGCAAGCAGAGGTGAGGGAAAGGACCGCCTGCAAGCAGAGAGCTGCCTCTGCTCCACCCAGAGCCACCAGCCCAGAGAGACCCTCCTCTGGGACAGCTTAGTCTCAGAGGAGATAGAGAAGAACTGAACCTGCAGCTGAGGCTGAGCTTAAACCCCATCATTAGGTTTCAGAGTTAACCCAGGTCGAGCCATAATCCGGGTTTCCTCAGTTACAAATGTCCTGTCAAGCTTCCCAGTGCGTGAGGGAGTTTCCTCTGTCCCACCTGTACCAGTTGCGTGTTGGGGTTGAACATTGCTCCCAGAGCTGGGGTTTTATTAACTGCTCCCCCCCAAATTCTGAAAAAGAGATCACTGTTGGGGCAATCAGCAATGAAAGGTCAGGTTTTAGGCTTAAACAGTGCAAAAGGGTTCTCAGCCATTGGAATGGGCTGCCCAGGGAGGTGGTTGAGGCCCCATCCCTGGAGGTGTTCAAAAGATGGGTTGATGTAGTGCTGGGAGGTATGGTTTAGTGATGGTGTTGCTTTTTGTTTGTTGTGTGGGTGTCTATTTTTGTCAAAGTCAGGTTGACGGTTGGACAAGATGATCTTGAAGGTGCCTTCCAACCTAGAAGATCCTGTGAGATTCATTGGGCATCAGTTTAATCAAGCACAAGCAGTCTCAGTTCATTTCTATCTCATAAGAAACCCACTCCGGGCTCAGCAGCCCTTAAAGAGCAGCTGAAGCTCGACGAGCACAGCTTGGGGACAAGATCCTCCTCGAGAAACACATCCAGCTGCTGCTGTCACCCTCTGCCACCAGCAAAGAGCTCAGAAGGAAACTCCTGGCCCCAACCTACAGTTGGTACCTCAAACCCAGAGATGGTGACGAGCGCTTGGTCCCGGGCACACACTCACCCGCCGCCTGGCAGTGGATCACCAGGATATTGGCCATTTCTGCAAACTTGACACTGGAGGGATTCTTCTTGATCTCCTTGAGGAACTCCCCCAGAGCCACCTCGCACCTGCAGAGAGGGAGAGCCACCGGTGAGAGCTCAGTTGGAGAAGCTACAGAGCCCACTCTCCGTAAAACACATAGAAACTGTCCTGATTTGAGCAGCACAGAACAAATTTCTCTTCTAATGCTTGGGAAAACTGCACTTTTAGAAGACAATTGGTGACAACATTCCCTTCACAGCCAGCTCTGGGTGTGGGTCTCAAGGTCTGGGTGTTTTCGAGCTCCCCGGGTGCGGGGACGAAGAGGAGCGAGACCTGGGCACTTGGCCCAAGCTGCCAACGGGGTTATTTCACACCATGAACATCACATTTATAATAAATTACAACGTTTGCTGAGGAGTTTGTCTCTCTCTCTCCCTTGATGGAGGGATCCTGAGAACTCCTTGCCCCGGTGCCGGAGCCCTGAGCCCTTCCCTTCCTCCCGCTGGCAGTGTCCCACATGGGCTGTCCCTGGGGTGGAACGGGATGGGGACACTCCTTCTGTGTTTTATATCGGTATCGGGGTCAATAGTGGTTCTTTAATGTTATTAATGTTAATTATTTAGTCTTATCCTGTTCAATCTATTTCTATTTCAACCCTCGTGTTTCCTTGTTTTTCCCCCAATTCCCCTTCCCGGGTGGGGAGAGAATAATTATCTAACCAACAATAAATTGAGGGTTTTTCAAACCATAACAGCAGGGATGCTGGTGGCACGGCTGGGAAGGATGGAGGGGACAGCTGCCCGGAGCCCCCTGCATGTCCCACAACTCCTGTAAGATGGGGAGCAGATGAACCCCAACGCTCCCACTGTCCTTGATGTGTGGACACTGGGAAAGAAGGAAGCAGGGAGGATCTGGGAGGGCTCAGCAGCAGGATGGACCCAGGCCAGCCTCACCACTGACCCGTGCGTGACAAAACAGGTCCAGTTACCCCCTCCCAGTACAAGGAGCCAAGACCTTCTGACCTTGCTGAGCACATCCAGCTGCTACTGTGCTTCTGTCCTCTGTCTCTAGACCAGCAGCGGGTCGGAGGAGCAAGCTCACCATGCTGGCTCCTCTTCTCCAGCCTGGAGAGGCTGTGCTGGTGCCCCACCTCGCTGAAAGCGGCTCCCCACGCTGTTCAGAACGCTCATAACCCATCCCAGAAGCACTCCAGAGCTTCTGCAGCTCCAAAACTGGATGCAAGGGCTGGCAAGGACACAGCTCAACCGAGCCAACCCCTCCCCAGCACAGACCACAATGTCCTCCACGGCCACTCCAGCCACAACAAGGTGGGGAAAGGAGGCTTTGGCCAAGGACACTTTGATCCACCAACCAAGCCGGCCAGATTTCTCCATGTCCCACCACGCACATGGGGTTTTGCTGCCATTATACAGAAAAATCACAAACAAATGAAGAGGGTGATGGACAGAGAGCGAGGAAGACACAGCTCACACGCCCGGCCAACCTCCGCACTCACATTTTCCGTATCTCCTTGCTGTTGTCTCCCAGGATCTGGAAGAGTCCATCCAGGATTTCTGGCAGGTAATCCAAGAGGTTGATGTCAGGCACGGACTCTAAGACCAGGATCTAGCTCAGGGGAGGAATATGAAAGAAGAGATGAGTTTTGGAGAAGCGCACAAACATCACCGGCACGAATCTGGCGCGACACTGAGGAATCCAGAGCTGAGCTGTGTGGGATTGGGGGGAAGGACAGAACAGCATGGAGTTGTGTGGCCAGCAGGTCGAGGAAGATGATTCTGCCCCTCTACTCCGCTCTGATGAGACCCCACCAGGAGTACTGTGTCCAGCTCTGGAGTCCTCAGCACAGGAAGGACATGGAGCTGTTGGAGCGGGGCCAGAGGAGGCCCCGGAGATGCTGGGAGGGGGGGCTGAGAGAGTTGGGGGGTTCAGCCTGGAGAAGAGAAGGCTCCAGGGAGACCTTCCAGCCCCTTCCAGTCCCTCTGGGTGGGCTTTAAGGTCCCTTCCAACCCCAACCATTCTATGGTTGTATTAGGGCTGGATAGGGATCCCTGACACAAAGGCAAGACAGCTCTGCTGTATTTCCAATCACAGCTCTCTGTAAAACAGAGCAGGGATCGGGAACGCCGTCAGACAGACCCGGGATGGAAACCAGCAGGGCTGGAAGAGAGAGCACAGGGGGACACGTCCCTCCCAGGCACCAAGAGCTCTGCCTCACACAAAGAGGAGAAAACAAGTAGAGATACCTCACAACATCCCTCCATCACAGCTGGGTGACAGAAAACATCTGGCACCGTCCCTGGGGAGAGCAAATCCTCTAGATGACAGCACATCTATTTATACAAGCAACGTTTCCACCCTATTTTCTAACTTTGGGGATCAATGTCCTGAACCAGGTTGGCAGACACCCAGTAGGACGTCCCCGTGACTCCACCAGCAAGGTGACAGGGGGCTGGCATTTTAAAGAAGCAGGTGAAAAAAAAAATCTCTGCTGGCTTAAAAATAAAAATTAAAAAACCAACAAAAAGGCCCAAGGTGCCTGATTTCACACGTCGTTGTGAATATCTGCTGTTTGCCCAGGCAATGGGTGGCCGTGGGTGACAGGAGTTTGGAGCTGGGACCAGCAGGCACAGGTGGCACGGTGTGTACCTACCCAGGATATGATGAACTGGCGGGCATACTGGTTGTTGGAGTAAATCCTCTCGCGCAGCAGCGGGATGAAGCCCACCAAGTCAAACTGGTTGCTCTCCGTCACGATGTCCTGCGGAGCCCAAAGCAGAGGGCGTTAGGAGGGACGGCCACCACCCCCCGGCCACCCTCATCCGGCCTTTTTTGGTTTTTTGGAAGGCACATGACAGGAAAAAGCTGAGAAGCCGTTGATGCGTGGGGTCAGGAGACCCGGGGAAAAGGAATCATGCGGTTTATTGAGGCGATGAGCGAGTAATTCCCCTCGGGGAGAGATGAACGTGGAGCAGGACGTGGGGCTCCCGCCTGCTGTGAGCCAGCCTGGCTGAACAGGAGGGTGGGAGCATCCCCCTGTCACGCTTCGATGGTGCGTTGCACACCCGAGCGAGCGCCTTTGATGTGACCACACGCCTCAGGGGGTGGCAGAGGCTTTCCTTTACGAGCTCCTCCAACACGTCTCCCAGCAGGAAGGTTTGCAGCAGGAGATGTGGAGACTGAGTTAACTGCCCGGGGGGAAGCACTGCTGAGGAGAAAGATCTGGAGGTCCTGGTGGAGAGTAAACTCTCCATGAGCCAGCAATGGGCCCTGGTGGCCAAGAGGCCAATGGGATCCTGGGCTGCAGAGGGAAGAGTGTGGCCAGGAGGTGGAGGGAGGTCATTCTCCCCCTCTGCTCTGCACTGGGGAGGCCACAACTCGAATCCTGCGTCCAGTTCTGGGCTCCCCAGTTCAAGAGGGACAGGGAACTGCTGGA